AGTGTGTGTCTGCAATGGCCTCGCTCCCCTTGCTGTCCAAGGGAATTGCTCTACATTTTAATATTTAAGGAACACTCTCCACGTTATCTTCCCCTTCTAAAGCACCAGCTCCATTTCCCGAGCACCAGTTTTCTTTGCTTCTGGACTATTGTGAATTGAAGCAGGAAAGTCTCATCTGCTAAATGCCTGAAATAGGCATTTGACTTTGAAATATTCAAATATGCAGGACAGCTTTAACCAGTGGTTTCTTCGGTTCAACTGCTAATTTAGCGTTGCAAGTAACAGATGTCCCCTACAGTCACTGCAACAGGGCTACAGAACCAAGCACAGAGCTGTAAGCTGCATTCTGCCAGCAGGTAAGCCTTGCACTGATGCCACTTGGTTTCTTTGTTCAGACAGAAGCTTCGTGCTGCTGCACACGCCGGTATTACGGGGCTCTGGCTGATTACACGGCCCAGGCTCCTGCGCTGGATTTTTCCCAAGGATTTTGCTGTTTCTCGTGTTCAGAACACCAATGCCCTGTGCCAGAAAACATACGGGGACAGAGCAGAACTCTTACAGATCTGCTACAGGTGTGTGCAGTCAACATTAAGACCTTGGCTCACTCCATAGTTTAAGGATGGGAAAAGCCCTCGGATACACTAACACAGTACCAGGCCAACCGGCGCCGCGGTCCCAGTTCCTTACATCTCCTCCTGGTCTCGGTATCCATCGGGGGTTTCATCTTACACTAAGTCACAAAAGCCGGGAGCTCAGGATGGTCCTTGGTGCTGTCCGCTTGCTCCGTGCAGTGTCTCCTCGGCCGTGAGCGCAGCCTCCGCGTCCCAAAGCGGCGCCGGCTCCGCGCTGGAAAAGAGGACACGCAAAGGGACTGTGTTCAAGCCAACGTTCACGCCCGCTGAACCACCACGTTCTGCCACTGGAGGCGATTTCAAAACTGACACATTCTGGGAGATTAAAATAGAAAAGTGGACTCGAGTTTTAGTACTTGAAAATTTTATTTTCTCAAATGAGCACCAACACATATTGTAAATATGACAAACAATACACCTCCCTCTAATACTGAAGAACTATATACAATGTACAAACACATGAAAAGGTGAAAACCAATTATCTGAAAACAAACAATTGCATTTATTACTGAAGCAAATGACCTGAAAGAATATGCCAAAAATAAAATTAAAATAAGATCAAAGAAATAAAAGTATACACAATTTGTAAACACAAGAGCATCAACAGACAGGCTGGTATTGGAAATAACGTCCTTTAGTTTTGTCAGTGGGGAAAGCATTCCCAAATCCTTACAAAAACAAAATAAAGGATACATACAGTTCATAACTATGAGAATAGCTTATTTGTGATTGTACCTTATACAATGCCATTCTGCTTGCATTTAAATACATTGATTTTTTAAAATCCAATGTGATTGTTTCCCCTCTTCTGTTTATTCTTTTTAAACAGGATTCTCCAAATCTATGTCTAACATTATTGTTCCTGAACCTTCGATTTCACAGGCCTCTCACCTGGTGAGCAGAGCTCTTTCCCACTTAGCTGAGCTCTGGTTCTTGCAAATCTGTTTCCCCAACCGGGTGTCTGCATCTCGCCTATTCCTCCAAGAACTGGTTCACACTGAAACATGATGCTCCTTCCAAAAGGAGGAAGTGCAGTGAAATGCATGATTAACACTTTCACATACCAGATAGAAAAATGCATACAGAGAAAATTCTTATTTATCACAAGAACAACAAATTTCATCTGTAGGGTATTTTGTTTTAAATATATATATATATATTTTTAAATCATGTGCACCAGAACAGAAAATTAAAGAGCGTGCAACAGTTATTCAGCACTGAAAACAGCTCCTTGCTCAGCAAAACAGTCCAATGGTTTGTGCTGTTGGTCCACTTTGGGATAAACAAGAGACCCACTGAATTAAAAATGAAGAGTGGGGAGAATGGGGGAGGTTAAGGACAGAAAGGAAAGAAAAAAAAAAAAAAGCTTTACTGCCAGAGAGGTAAAATTTTACTCTGATTTGTTACATAGCAGCCTGGTTTCAAAACAAAATAAAACGTAAACCAGGACCCACCTCCAAGGACTTTTTTAGTTCAAAAACGACGACTAGTTAGAGATCTCTATCCTCCATCCCTGCTGCCCCCAAGCAACTGGAAATAGAGATTCAGAGGTTTCAAGCTTATATTCACTGCCGTATTCCAAGTCTCCAGATCTACCTCACTCCAGCCAATACTGGTGCAAGAGAAAAATTCTGGCCCAGGCCCTACAGCCGGGATCAGGTCGGCCGAGCGGAGCCGACGGCTCCCAGCAGGGATCCCGCTGGGATCGGGCTGGGAGCTCAGGCACTGCCTGGGGAAGCTCTCGGGGCCCGTGCGCAACCGGCCCGGAGCCGCGCGCGCCTCGTCCCCGCTCCTTCCCGCTCCGGAACCAGGAGCGGCTCCCCCTCTCCTGCCCGTCCACGGGAAAAATGGGTTCACTTCAGAGGACAACATATATTAGGAATTTTGTTTCCCTTTAAACATGTTTTCCAACAAGTACAGAAGGAAACAGTATCACTTATAGACAACAAAAAGTGCTCTCAGGGAGGGGCTCTGAGAAAACAGCACCAAATATATTATTTTTTTAAAAAAATTAAATATTATTTACAAAAGTATATTTCACAAGATAACGCTTTTTTTTTCTGCTTTGTATATATTATTATCTCAATATTTATTACAGGGATTGGGATTTCACATCAGATAATCCACCAGAGCAAAAAGTTCAGAACTCACCCCAGCCTGAGCTTTGGAGCGCTGTAAACCCCGGGCCGCGCTCCAGCTGGGAACAGCGGCGCCGGCGCCGTCCCGGAGCGACCGCGCGGATCTTTGGTTGTGCTCCGCACGTCCCGTCTCACGAGCCACCGCTTTGGGCTGCGACACCCTGAGCCCATCGCCCTGTCCCCGGCTCCCGATGACAGAGCAAGTCACGGGTGAGTTAGCGGTGGGCTAAGAAGTACTTTGAGTTTAATGGACACGCAGCAGAGAACAAACGTCCATGAGCCTCAAAGGCCAGTTATTTCTCATCTCCCTGTACAGCGTATTGAAGTCTGCCTATAGGTAACTATAAAGTCTCTCTATAGGTAACTCTGCATTCATGGACATTCAGAGGCACTCGCTTCCTTTTTTTTTTTTTTTATTTAATCTCAGGACTTGAGGACACATTCTCAGCAAGTGTCGATCTGTAGACGTTGATGGGACAAAGCCAAATAGTACCAGATTCAAATGCTGCCATATTCAAGTTTGCACTGGTTGCCATTAAAAATGTCACTCATTGTGAACAGTTAAAAACAGCCCAGTTGGTGGATCGTCACCATTCTAGGTCCTAAATATAAAAACATCTGTATCTGACAGCACTTTGTGGCAACTTTTCTTATTTCTCCGAGCAGTCCTCTAGGCAGGCCTGCTCCTCAGAGGGTATCAGGACCAACGTTAACATCACCAACGTAAAATCAGGAGCCCAGGTGTGCTCCGTTAGTCAACCTCAGAGTAATTATTTGGGGTTATCCCTTCATTCTTTCAGGTCCATCAGATGCCTTTAAAGGCTACATATTTGGGGAAACTGAAGAGCTCTCCAGAGTGCAGATAACTTCCCACTAGCCACAACACAATTGACTGTCATGGCTCAAGAACCAGGGGACAGGAAAACGGGGCCGGGCCAGTGCCGAAGTCCACAAGCTAATGGGTACTTCAGAGCCTTTGATTTTTACCAGATTTTTATCAGAGAAGGGAACCTGGACGATGGAGATTGTCAACAATCAGAAGCAAAAGCTGAAGCAACTCTGTTACACAGCCACAACAGAAAGGGTAAAGGCAGGAGCTGCCTCCTAACTGGCTTGCCACAAAAACGAGTTAATCCTCCCTGTTTCCGAAGATCCGGGCAGCCTCCAGCTCACTGTCCTCTCCAAGGCCCAGACAACCTGTGTCACGAGAACAACAATTCCAGGGAAAAAAGAGCCACGGCTCAGACAGGCCATCGGGATGGGTTTCAGCACAAGGCCCCAGCGTGCAAAGTTGGCCCAATGTGTAGGTAGCCTCTCTGCTCACACCTCATCTGTGTGACAACAAAATATTCCCTCACTTTCCATCCTAATCTCTGTAGCTAACTGAATATCCTGGATGTGGGGCCAGCAACAATAGGCTACAACTCCAAAGCTCTGGTTTCATAAGGAGTTACAAACCCCTGTACAACGCTCTTTCCTTATGGATTAAGAAAGATTTTTGCCCAGTGGATTAACCTACTTGAAAGAATTCCACAAACAAAAAGAAAATTCACTCAGAGATAAAACTAATTCACTTAAATAGTCTTGAGTTATGCACCAGATACTGGCTGGACTGTTGCAGAGCAAACTTCACATTGTCATTTACACTGAACACAGCTCCCCTCTTGCACACAACGCCCCTTCCCCACACACCACCTTGGCAAGGTCCATACTAATTAATAGGAAAAACTTCCAACGGGAAGGATTTGTCCCTTACGGTTACAACACCCAAACCTGTCCCTCCCCTTTAACTCCAAGGCATAGAAATTTCAGGGGTAGGGGGAAGATGTTCAGTTTTGTTTCCCACCCCACCCCGTGTCTGCAACAGGCTTCCAGGGGTGGGAAAAGGGGGGACGTTTATTTTTTTGGGGGATACCTCATGGCTTGAAATATCCACCTACGCATTCTGCTACAACTGGCAGCGTCCTCTGCTCCCTCCTCTCCCCACTGTCACATCAGTTCTTTCACAGGCTCCAAGAGTGGAGCTGATGGCTGGCGCCTGAGATTTAAGGAAAAAAAAAAAAAAGATACTTTAACAGCATTTACCTACTTGCACTTGCAAAGAATTGGTAAAACACTCCCAAGGATGCCCGATAAAGGCTGGGAGATCAAGGGGCATCTCATGCCACTAGTTTTGTCTCCAACCTCCCCTAAACGATTTCCCCTTTCTTGCCTCACACATGACTGTTTTCTGCCCTATCTTCTAAGTTGCAGTTCCAGCCCCTTCTGCCTTAAGGGTTTTTCCCCTCCTCTCTCATGGGCTCAAGAGTCAGGATTTGGTTTCTCCAGCTGTGGATGCTCCCACAGCTGTGCTCTGGTGGGGGGGTTGGCCAACCTCCTCCAAAACAGAGAGAAAAATGAGAGGTGAGGGATCTCTCCAGCCATCAGGTCTCCCCCGCCGAGGTTAGTCCACGGCAAACAGAACAGCGACTCGCAGGGAGCCACCGCGGCGCTCCCGGGACTCGCGCTCCGACGGAAGCCCCACTTCTGGAGCCGCGGATTTCAGATTTGGAGAGAACGCAGCCGTGAGGTATATTTCTGTCCATTTAGACAAGCAAATAGTTTCAAGCCTTGGTTAACCAGGACTTAAAGGAGAAGCACGGTTTCACTTCTGATGACTTCCCTTGTGGTCCCCTCCCCACCCCCTTTCACCTTCTCCTGCCCAAACCTCAGGTCTTCCTCTCGCACCGAGACCTCTCATCAAATGCCACCACAGAGCCAGCTCGGGTTGGTACTTAAGCGCTCGTCAACATGGAATGGCTGTCGGGCGTTCGGTGCATTCTCTTAGCCAACGCCAGAACAGAGAGAGAAGCAGCCAGGGTCAACTCACAAACAGATACAAAGCAAAGAGACAGAGAGACAGAAATTTAGAGGCCAGTCACCAATAAAGATGGAGAAGGGTGTGAAGATGCTCCCAAACTGCAGAGCCTCTAAATGCATGGAACCAAGCGTTCAGTCACTCTCTCACTCTTGGATATAATGTTCGGTTGGATGGCATTCTCTTACACGCTGGAAGGGCTGGGCTCTTCCCATTCAATCCCAGCCGTTATCCTTGATCATGTGAGCTAGTTCAATGATGTATTTGCCTTCTTTATACTTCTGGCTGCTTTCAAAAGCATGTTCCTAAAAAAGAAGAACAAGGATGATGATGCCTTAAGGTTTACATAACATAAAGTCACAGCTACAGATTGTACCCAGATACAAGGCTTAGCTTGGGTAGGAGATTCGTTTAAGAAGTAAAATCACAGTCAAACAAGTATTTACTGTGAGCTTTGGGGAAAATTAGCTTTGGAAGAATCTTAAGCATGGATTCTAGTAGAACTCTCAGCCCACAACAGTTTGGGTTCTTTTAAGCTGCAGTCACTTTCTGCCTAATACTCAATCTGCAGTGACTCTTTGTACGAATGACACACGCAATGCACCTGAAAGAATGTAATCCTATTGCTACAGAGATTTGTGCTCGCTCCTATGTTGATGAAAATCTGTGCTTTTGTTTTATAATAAACTGAAATTTATGTATTTAGCTTCCTTTTCCATTTGCTAGATCCATGTTGTGTTTCTGCAGGGATTCCTATTGCACCAGTTTTTTGGTCCTTTATTTTTCTATTCTTTATAATCAGGCAGTTGAAAGGTTACTGATACAACAAATGTTTTGCTTAAACACTGGTCAGCCTGTTTTGAACAAACAAGTATGCAGCGTCTCTCCTAAAGCAGAAATTAGAATATAGCAGAAGCCTTTGTTTGAAAGTAATTGAATTTATGAAGAGCAAGAGACAGCAAACAGATAAACTCAAGTTAAATAGCATTTCCAATGGGAAGGATGCAGGATTAACAACATATAGATCATTCCATTATTCTGAGATTATCTGGAAAAAAAGACGGTATGAACATCAAGAACTGAGTGATCATTAATACAAATGCTACTTACTTGTATTAAGTATCATTAAGGGATGGCCATCAAAGCCAGGCCTGCTGCATAAACTGTTAGCAAGAGAAGATGTTCACCACAACAAGCTCTTGCACTGACTGCACGCAGCAAACAAAACACAGGATGGAAAATGGAAATGCAGAAAGGAAAAGGGAGGTAACACAGACCACAGTCCACATTTCCATATGTTCACCTTCAGAAAGAGCTACAGCAGAGATGTCCATAGGAAAACCAAACGATACTCACATATTTCCAACCCAGTGTGGTTTTGCAGTTTTCACAGTAAATGTCTGCAACTGCATGTAATCCTGTTAATAACACCCGCTCTTCTGCAGGGCCACAGCCCACATTAACTCTGGAGAAAAAGGAGAAAAGCTCCCCGTTAACAAGCACGAAGCTACCCCTTAATAGAAGGAAAAGGTAAAATACAACTTTTTTCAACTGATGATACTAAAAAGTTTTGAAGAAAAAAATTAGGCTATTTTAATAATGCATTCATTTTGTATTTGAGAAAGATCTTCATTTTCAAATTGATAAAATGGCACTTTTGTTTTTATTCTCCCAAACAGAAATGTGAAGAAGGTAACTGAACTCAACAGTTCTTCTAATAGATATCTTGGCAGAAAGTGTGATCTTACCAGAACTATTTTCTGAAGGGAAAATAATAGTTTATCTTTAAGCTAAGAAGTAAGTTTGTTTTGGGGCATTACATATTCTTTATGCTCACAAAAGTTTGATTCTTTGGTCCAACTCTATTCCCTCAGAAGAGAATGACTCATCCGTTAGCTCTTATTTCTCAATCTGACAACAAAAGAACCATCCTTCCTAGGCTCTTATCTGAAACCTGAATGTAAAATCAACCATGAATCAGTGCTATTCCCTGCCTCCTCCTCCAACCATTTTTAGAAAGCTTCCAAGACTTGGGCAGAGCTTTTCTATAATGAAGGAAGACAATCCTTTTGTTTACTTATTCACAAGGGCTTTCTTAAATCTATCCGAAAAGACGCCGAGGTGACACGCGAGCAGCTGTACTCACACTGAATTGAAGAGGTACGCTCGTCCTTGGCTGCCTTGAAAGGACTGCAAGGGAAAAAAACAAAATTCAGTTAGTTGATGGAAATGAGCCTAAACCACGAGCCGTCCTCAACAACTGCATTAATGACCCCAACCGGTCGTTATAGCAACTGCTGGCCACGTCTGAGACAGGCGCATCTCTCCCGTCCTCCAGATGAAAACAGCAGGAAGGGAAACGTCAGGAGAAGACGAGGACTGATCGAGAGCGGCCTCGTCCTGCAGCTGGCAAGGGCACGGCCGCCGCGGGTTCAACGCGTGCCCGTTTCCCAAGGCGCCCTGGCAGCCCCTGGGAGCTGCTCCTACCTCCATCACCCGAGGATCCATATGCACACGCCTGCTCCAGTCCAGCACACGGCTCAACAGTTAAGCCCTGTTTTTTTCTCTTACATCCCCAGAGATGCTCCTTCTCACCCTTTCGGTTCTACTTGTTTCGCCTTCCGAAATCTCACACGCTATTGCTCCCATCTAACCTAAGTCTAGCTGCCAAATATTGTTTTAAATCTCTTCTCTAAAAAAGTACAAAGCTGAAGTACACTCACGTACGCTTCCATTTCACTGCTACACTTTGAAAACACTGCCACGGTGCTTGGCTGGAATGCCGCTTACAAAGACAGCATATTTGGCAGTTAAGCCCTGTTTTTCTCTCTTACATCCCCAGAGATGCTCCTCCTCACCCTTTTGGTTCTACTTGTTTCGCCTTCTGAAATCTCACACGCTATTGCTCCCATCTAACCTAAGTTTAGCTGCCAAATATTGTTTTAAATCTCTTCTCTGAAAAAGTACAAAGCTGAAGTACACTCACGTACACTTCCATTTCACTGCTACACTTTGAAAACACTGTCACGGTGCTTGGCTGGAATGCTGCTTACAAAGACAGCGAATTTGCATGCAGAAACAAA